AGATCTCCGGGTTTCACGTGTGCGTCGTGGATCTGCCTTTTTCTGTCTTTTTCTTTCTTCGCGTTTTCTCTGGCTTCTATCACTCTGTGCGTGGCTTCGATTACACAGCTGAGTTTGTCGCATTCATTGTTTGTCTCGGCTACCTCTGCTTTTGTTTTTGTCAGGTCTTTCTTGATGGTGGCTATCTCGGAAAGTATACTTTTCTGGTTGTCTTTCAGTTCTTTGGCGGCTACTGCGTCTGTTTCCTTTAACTTCTTGAGGTCGGTTAGATTTGCCATCAATTCTGTTTTGAACTTCGCCATTTCTGTATTTTCCTCCTCGAGTCTCCTTTGGGTCTCGAGAGATGCCTGCAGGATGCTTCGCAGGTCTATCATCTCGTCCCTGTCCTGAGTCCTGAGTGCCACGATTCGTGCGTTCTCTTCTCGCAGGGATTTGATTTCGTCTCTCAGCTGCGTAATGACGTTGTTGTTCGCAGCTGTCGGACTGGGCGCCTGATATCTTTGCTTCGGCTCTGGATTGTGTGTGGTCCTGGTGGTGGAATTCGCCATATGCAGTGCAGTGGTCAGACAATTTATTTTAAATAGGCGTAGAAAATGTGTCCTAACGTGTAAATCGACACTAAAAGCCTAAAAGAATCAATATCAGAGTGACTTATAGGGACTATATAACTACGGTCGGCCTAACCTATATCATAGTTACAATGACGATTTTGGGGGTGTTCAGACTGTGGACCTGTCTAAAGCGGTAGATGTGTGTATTCTGTCATGCGACAGTACCAAGTGCAGCTAATGTTAAAGTAATTAACGAGCCAATATGGCTGTGTTCTTGAATATCCAGGACTTTGTCTGAGAGCAACATAGCCCGGATATTATTAGTTCAGTTAATCTGGTGGAGGGGATGTGTTGAGAGGAAAATCTCTATTCAACATATAAATCATTAAACCCACTACGTCACAGCCCCCATCAGCACGGTCTTCTATCATGCTGGTCAGCCCTCAAAAGAAGATTTCCCGCAATCCAAGCAGGCTTCCATAAATGCATATCCAATACACAGTGCTCTGGTAGTGTACTCACCAAGCAAACGTCACATCCTGCTCATGACTTGTTCAACTGCAGTTCCGTATACCAAGCTTCTCATTCATCATGGGCTATGCCCTTAGAAGCCAATAGGAGGCAGTCAGTAGACGTGCGAATTCGATTACTGACAGAAAATGAGTGCTCTGCTTCGTATGCATGTTAGACTCTTACAAGAACCTTAACTACTACTTCTTTGCGTTCGGTTTCGTATGCTCAGGTCAGACCATCAGGGTAGTTACCTCTATAAACTCGTATGTCAGTTGCAGGTCTTCATGTTTTCCCAAAAGCTTGCTCTGAACACTTTGCTCTTGAGGCCAGTTTTCTTTTCGAAGTTGTAGGCAGAGCGGACAGGTCTGCAGAATGGGCTCACGTGTTAGTGGTCGTCCGACAGGCACACTGTGGGGACCGTACAGTTTTTAATTGTATGCATGTGGTCTTTGAACCTGTGGTGTCCTGATCGTAGACGGAAAACTGGTATGCTGCTTTCTGTTCAGTCTGCTGATGGTCTTGTGGATGTTTACTGTCGGTTTGTTCCCTCGACAATTCCTTGTATTTTAACCTTAATGACTGTTTAGATTTCTGATAATGACAATGAATGGGTGTGTTGTTTCTCCATGCACTAACCTTATAGAAGTGAACTAAAACACAATCTATGACTGATCGGGTTGAGGCTGTAGACATGCACAGATGCAACCAAGTGTTTTGACAAGTCTTTATCAGCAAATACAAAAAATTCCTAAGCCACAGCCTCACAGGGGAAAGTCACATAGTGAAACAAACAGCCAAGTCTTTTCATCGGGGTTTACAGCTTGTGAATATAAACACACAACACAGTGAAAGAAACACAATAAAAATGTGACAAGTGGAAACTAAAAGAGCTATTGCAAAACTAATATCTTTCCACATTTCTGTTTTATTTCTTTCATAACTGTAGCAGTTGTTCTTTCTTGTTTTTTGGTGCGAAAAGTTGCAGGTGATAAAAAGGAGAGTCCGCCAGAAACCATGCAGAAAAATGTTAAAAAGTCAATGGAAACACCAAGATCATCAAAACACACAAAAATGTCAAGCCCAGGTTTCTACCGGTAAATTTATTCTAACTGCATTGTTTACCTTGATAGGCCTTTTAGCACAGAAAAGGTGGGAAGTTTTAGTACACCAAGCCTGGGAAGTTCTAGTTCATCCAGCCTTGGAAGTTCTTTCTATTACACCCAGTAGTACACCCAGCCTGGGAAGTTCTAGTATACACAGCCCGGTACACCCAGCCTGGGAAGTTCTAGTATACACAGCCCGGTACACCCAGCCTGGGAAGTTCTAGTATACACAGCCTCGGAAGTTTTAGAACACCAGCCTAGAAAGTTCTAGTACATCCAGCCTGGGAAGTTCTAGTACATCCAGCCTGGTAAGTTCTAGTACACCCAGCCTGGTAAGTTCTAGTACACCCAGCCTGGGAAGTTCTAGTACACCCAGCCTGGTAAGTTCTAGTACACCCAGCCTGGGAAGTTCTAGTACACCCAGCCTGGGAAGTTCTAGAACATCCAGTCTGGGAAGTTCTAGTACACACAGCCTAGTAAGTTCTAGTACACCCAACCTAGTAAGTTCTAGTACACCTAGTCTGGGAAGTTCTAGTACACTCAGTCTGGGAAGTTCTAGTACACTCAGTCTGGGAAGTTCTAGTACACTCAGTCTGGGAAGTTCTAGTACACTCAGTCTGGGAAGTTCTAGTACACTCAGTCTGGGAAGTTCTAGTACACACAGTCTGGGAAGTTCTAGTACACTCAGTCTGGGAAGTTCTAGTTCACCCAGCCTGGGAAGTTCTAGAACACCCAGCCTGGGAAGTTCTAGTCCACCCAGCGTGGAAGTTCTAGTCCACCCAGCGTGGAAGTTCTAGTAAACCCAGCCTGGGATGTTCTAGTACACCAAGCGTGGAAGTTCTAGTTCACCCAGCCTGGGAAGTTTTAGAAAACCCAGCCTAGGAAGTTCTAGTTCATCCAGCCTAGGAAGTTCTTTCTATTACACGCAGTAGTACACCCAGCCTGGGAAGTTCTAGATCACCCAGTCTGGGAAGTTCTTTCTAGTACACCCAGTTTGGGAAGTTCTAGTACATCCAGCCTGGGAAGTTCTAGTACATCCAGCCTGGGAAGTTCTAGTACACCCAGCCTGGGAAGTTCTAGTACACCCAGCCTGGGAAGTTCTAGGACACCTAGCCTGGGAAGTTCTAGTACACCCAGCCTGTAATACTGATTAGGTTGAGTTCAGTTGAGAACCACAACCACAGAACGTGGGACATAACAATTTGCACCTTTAGCAGCCAGTGTATTTCAAATCTGATGGCACCATATGTCCACTGTGCCGCTCCTTTGAGTGTAGTGTGTTGGCCAAATCCTTTAGTCACTCCTAGTTGTACCCTTCTCTCCAAAGCTTTTTTTTTTTGGGTGTGGATCAGTCTCGTAGACAAAAGGTCTCAAAGAACAATTCCTCGCTGACGTCACAACAGTACGCAAACAGCTTCCATCATCTCCCCCAACAATGAAATGCAAAATATGTTCATTGTGACCTTCCAGTGACAACAGACGATTGCTTTGTTGATACAACACCTGTTAATATACATTTTCTCTTCTTCGTCTCCTCATCCAGTTTCCTTTACTGAAGTGTTGTTAAGGGGATACAAGGATTTCTGTGTGCTCTTTCTATTGTGCTGCATAAGTTGGTCTTTCATTTCTTTAAGACTGTTCTTTATGTCCTCACTCCAGATTTGGCATTGTCTAGCTCTTGCTCTGTGTCTAATGTATTTCTTAGCGTGGCTTTTTTGTAGCAGCAGGTAGGACCAGAGAATTCTCATCAAATGACCAAACCCTCTCAGAAAGACAAACCATCTCCTCTGTTTCTCTTTAATGAACTGCACGACTTGTATAGTTTTTCAAATATTTTGGATGGATTTCACATTATCTTGCTAAGAAAACAACCATTTGCATAGCATCACTTTGCACCAGTCTCTAGCTTTCCTATTTCTTCTGTCTGTCATCTACCAATAATGGATGGACCCTCAAAAACGCATGCACAGCCCGTGACGATTTGTAAATAAATGGCTTGCTTTTGTTTGTGTTTAAATTTTAGTTAATTAATTAGTTAATCGATCGATTATCGTCATCGCACATCAGACAGGTGCATAAGTGCTTAGAGGCCATCTCAGCTATATCCCTCAGCGTGTGATAACTGATAAAACCAGTTCTGTGTTGATTTATAAATCTTTTTTGGCTACCTATACACAGTGTTCATGTCTGGTAACACCTCTTTTGACTTGAAGTTCTTGTAGTCCTTCTAGTGCTGCTGACTCATGATCGTGAAAGGAATCATTTACTCGTCCTGCCTCCTTGAGAACAATGAGAACATCAGCCCTGTCCATTGCTTGTCCTGTACCTACAATGACCCTACCATCAGGCCAATCCACTTGTTCAATTCCATTTATCCCTGAGTACCCTGGCACAAAAATGCATCTGATTCCTATCAGTCGAGATTTTCTCAGCAAATTCAACCACCTTCTTCGAACCCCCCCAGTCCCGATCTTAAGCATGCTTGCTCAAGGAATCACTTAGAAAGCATGCAAAGGGAAACATTCTGTCTCTAGTCACATCATTGCTTACGTTACTTCCATAGCCAGACTATTTGTGATCGAGGCAAAAGCATGGCTATCTTTTTTTTTTTTACAGTTCTTCCTCTATGCAGAACTGATCTTCATTTTTTTAACTACTGATTATGTATCCAGGGAAGCCCCTGTAACACTGCGGCCAGAAATTAGATACCTGAAGGTGAGGTAGTCAGTCTCACATCAATCTCCATAAGTCACCACTTATGATCTTTATGGTAAGTTGCAGAGACATTATTCTCTTGTTTCCTTTGGCAAGGACAAAATCAAGTTTAAAAAGATCACTGCTCCACTCGTATGATTCCCCGTTTGCCACTCTCTTTCACGTTGCTCCGTTCTCCAAATATTGTTTTGTCCAGATAAAAAGTGACTTTCTGTGGACTGAAAGCTCCAAGAGAAGATAACTCTTGCTCAATTTTGTTGAACTTCTGCAGGCTTTGCTGGTTGGCATTGCTGGTTATAGCTTGTCTGACATCTCTCATCTGATTATAGGAAAAAATGTGAAAGGAAAGTCTTATAAATAAGAGTGATAACCCTTTGTGAAGTTAAAGTTAATAATAAAAAATGCCACACACACACAAATATAGAAAAGTTGTGAAGTTTTAGTTAATGAAAGTCTTATAAATAAGAGTGATAACCCTTTATGAAGTTAAAGTTATTAATAATAAATGCCACATACAAAAAAATATAGATAACTTGTGAAGTTTAGGTTAATGAAAGTCTTATAAATAAGAGTGATAACCCTTTGTGAAGTTAGAGTGAATAACAATAAATGCCACATGTGAATAAGAGTGAAAACCCTTTGCAAAATTGAAGTAGCTGATAAGGAAAGGGTGGGAGTGGTCTGGAGAAAACATGTATATCTGCAGGAGGGGAACAAACAACTTAGTGACACATTCTTTCATGAACTCCTCATGCATGATGACATGGTTAACAACAACAAAACAGTCAAAAGCACCATAACAGCCTTCATTTAAGAAGATCTTCTACCTGTCAAGGCCAGCTCTCTGTTTGTCAAGGAAAACTGTTAGGTCAAGCTTGCTTTCTATTTCCCAAACTACACAAACCAGAAAACCCAGGCAGACCAATCGCATTCTACTGCGTGAGCCACAATGTCATTAACGCCATAAACTGCAATAGATGTGGCATGAAATAGATCTGTGAAAAGGGTCTACGACTGGCTGACAGGTTCAGACATCTTTTAGATGTGCAGAACAGTGCCCTAAAACCAGTACCCCTGCACTTTCAATTCTCAGGATCACCAAGTGTCCGTGACAAGGAGGTGACAGCGATTAAATTTGGCCACTCTAGGGACAGAGTCCACAAGTCTCTTGAGAATTGCTGTATTTTTACCTTGAGAATACAAACACTCAGGGGACCGAACTGTCAACACAGTTTCACCTAAAATCTCTGAGTAGCGACTCTTGGAATTCTCATTATCTTGGACCACATGTGTCGTTTCATTCCACTGGCAAGACATCAACATGCCTGCTTCAAGATACACCAGTTAAGTGATTTTGTGTATTTGTGTGGTTCTGTTTGATTTATGTATGTGCTGATGAAGGCTCTGTAACCGCAAGATTCACTTTCTGTTTGCATTCGACATACTCTGAAGCTAGCTGAACTTATTTTTGGTCTGGTTTAATATCTTTCCATGATATTTTACTCTTCACACAACTTAACAGCTGATGTGGTGCAGTGGCTGCCTGTCTGAAAGTCTTAGGTTTGATTGAGCTCCAGGCACATTTAAAAAAGTTTATTTAATGACTTTGGCCTACGAGTATCTTCCTCTTCTTCGTGTTCACCGGCTATAAACCATAGCGGAAAGTTATGTTGCTCATACACTTCTGGTTTTGTTCCAGAACTTGATTTCTGTATTCACATATATTTTACAGACAGATCTATAGACTTATTTATATGCCAAAATTTTGAAACTGTGGATAGTCACGGGCCAGAAATCCAAGGCTTACGCACAGAAATAGGAAGGTCGTTAATACAGTACAACTGGCAATGATTCGTGGGCCACTTGCTAGGCATTCACTGGCCAGATTTGGCCTGCATGCTGCAGGTTGAACAACCCTGATGTACACCTCTGCCACTACATTACCAATATGGGGGGAACGGGGGAGAGAGCAGTGGTGCAAAGCCCATCTTTTACTTGCATCTATCAGAGTGAGTCGGGTATATGGACTTTCCTCACAACTTGGTACTACACTACCATCTCCTTGGAAACTGTGGCCCATGGGCCACCTTCTACTTGCATGTCATAGAAGACGACCAATCAGGGGTTTTTCCTTCAGAGTCAGAGTGCATCTGCCTGATAGGATAGGAACCAACAGCCTCTATACAAATAAGCCAGATCTGTAGAAAGGATGTGCACGCAGAACTCAAGTTCTGGATCAAGACCAAAGTGCAGGAGTGGAAGAACAACCAGAACTTTCTGCTAGAGATTACAGCCAATGAAAACTAAGAAGAAGAGAAGAATTTCTCTTCTGACAGACAACAATTTCAAAGGAAGATGACATTAAAGGGGAAAGAGGCAGACCTTTAATCAGGTTGCAACATATACTATAAGCATGTACACTTTTTGTTGCTCACTGAAGAAGGGGACAGAGCATGTATGTGAATGTCCCGAGTGCAGTGATGATAATTCTTGATTCATTCATTCATTGAACTAGGGTTTCGGATCTCTGGGTGGGTAACTGAAAGTATAATGTGTTTTTTTTAAATAAGGGACCTTATATGGTGATGACGTACAATCTATAATTTTAAAATGTTTTACACAACAACAGTCAAAGATACCTACTGTGTCACAGTATAGCCTAGTATTTAAAGGCCTTGATAAATCACTAGCTTTCTTTATAGCCTCTTCTAGCCCTGTGAATACTTCTGGAATATGTCCTAGCTTGGCGTAGCACATCAGCTGTGAGTATTGAAAACAAAATGTAAACATGAAATTAAAAGCAGAAGACTGGTATTTGAAAAAAAAAAAGTATATGCAAATAGATACTGTCCATAAAATATACTGTCATGTCAGGTTTTTGTGTCATAATAGTTACTGACATGTCATTGTGCTATAACAGATTCTGGCATTCCATTTTGTTAACATCACATACTGTCATGTCATATTATTTTGTAATAAGGGAAAAATGCCACTGCATCAGAGACTAGGTTGTAAGACTCACATATCATTACTTTGCTGATAAGGGTAAATGCTCAGCAATTGGTATCAAAGTGCCACCTCCTTGGGAACTGTGACACAAAGCCCACCTTTTACTTGCATCCTTCAGAGTCAGTCTGGTATATGGACTTTTCTCACAATTGGTATCAAAGTGCCACCTCCTTGGGAACTGTGGCACTAAGCCCACCTTTTACTTGCATCCTTCAGAGTCAGTCTGGTAGGTACACATGGACTTTTGTCACAACTTGGGACCAAAGTGCCACCTCCTTGGGAACTGTGGCACAAAGCCCACCTTTTACTTGCATCTATCAGAGTCAGCCTGGTATATGGACTTTTCTCACAATTGGTACCAAAGTGCCGCCTAATTGGGAACAGTGATGATCAGTCTCCTTTTACTTTCTATCTCAAAAATCAACAGTGTATGTAAGACCAGTACATCGGAGATTCACACAAGTGGAGAGGTAAAATCAGGATGTATCTAGGTGATCATTTGATAATACATGTTGCGTGCTAAATTCACTGTGCTGGTCAGAGGCGTGATCACCTACGCCAGTCGTAAGGCACAGGATGATGATGGTAACAGATACGTGGGCAAAAAGGGTCCATGTGGCTTGAGATGAGGGACGAGTGCAAAGGTCCTGGAGGTGCACGAAGTTGTGGATGACATGTTTCTAGAGAATCATCACTAACAGTGGTTTGCATGCGCTTAGCGAGAACCAGGCAGGGTGAGGAGCGCTGAGCTAAGGGTTGGTCATGGGTGTTAAGTTCAGTGCCTCTCAACCAGTTCAACAGTGCAGACACATTTTCAGATGTCTGTGAATTTTTAGCAGTAATTATGACTATCATGTTAGTTCAGCGAAAGTTTACCTTATGTGTTAGAATTTGGTGGATGAGATGAAAAGCTCCTGTTGTGCCGATTTTGTGGAGACAAGGCGTGGGGACCCAACATGTTATTTGCCACTATGATCGACGGAAGTCGGATGGTGAATTGTGGCGGAATTGCTAGGACGGAATTGGGCCGTGCCTCGTAATGATTCTGATTCGACTGTGTGTCGAGAGACTTTTTGCCTGGGGTCGAGTCTCTGATCAGTTTTTATGTATAGGTTATGGTGACCTGAAGTGAGGGCACGTAACTGAGGAGAAGAATCTGTCTTGGGTGACGACGCGAGGAGGTGTAGGATCACCAATAAAACAATACAGTAAGGAGTATATTGAGGATTCATGCCGAGCCGAGGTTAGGTGTTCCCTTTCATGTGACACTGCCTTGGTAGCATATTATAGTGTACAGGTGGAGCTTTAGATGGACAGTCATCCTGGATCACCACTTTATGCTCATCGTCATGTTGTGTTGCGTCAAAATAAACCAGCTGAAGCACAAGTAAAGAAACGACTCTGCACGTTCTGTTGATGTGGTTGGCTGTGGACTGTTCTCAGTGTTAGTTGTATGATATGACCATGAGAACTGTATTAACCTAGTACTGCCAGGTAGGGAAAAACCCATTAGTCGCCAGGAGGTTGGCTTGGGGGGAACTTTCATATACCAGTGAAGGGTTAATTATTCACCCCCTAGACACTTTGCCACAATACACATACAAGGCCTGTTTGGAATTATCCAAGGCAGGTAATGTTGCTGCATCAGATTTAAGTAGGATACACATTATATAAATATTTTAAAACTTACCATAATGTTGAGTATCAGATTATCAGCTCTTAGCTTTTTCATCATTTCCAAGGCACTGGCTGGATGATTCTTAAATACAAAATATATATATATATATATATAAATATATATACATATACACACACACACACAAGTTTTAAAAAAAATAAAGAACCATTTTACAGACCCATCGGCACTCAGTGAGTGATGTGGACATCACGCCGATATAATATATACACACACACATACACACACACACATACACACACACATATACACATACACACACACATATACACACACACACATACACACACATATACACACACATGTACACACACACATATACACACACACATATATACAAAACTCTTTACGGTGTAGAATAAATAATCCCAATGAAAGTTGTTGCACTGGGTTTTACACCATATGGTTCAGTCTTTCTCCGCAGAATAGCTTGTTGTCTGTCAAGAATGTCACATAAAGCATGAAGTCCAAAGCTCCAGTGATGATCCTTAGGGATCTCTAAAAAAGATGCTTCTATGAACTGATGATGATTGTTTTGCTTAGTAATAGATATTTGTATACATGCTAAACGTGGCATATCTAAACTATGTAAAACTAAAATGTAGTGGTCTGGGTAGTCACAGCTGGTGGTTAGCAGTAATTTCAACTTTTCTGTAAATGGGTCAGGCAATAATTGCTCCATTACCATGCCAATGAAAATTACCCAAAAAAGCCCTTCACTGTGCCATTTAAAAACAAGTAAAACAGATAAGTTCCAGTAAAATCCACAAGCTTGTGCACACATTAACTCTTTGAGTCACAGGGGGTTTGGCATCGGAGGCCCAAGGGGTAATCAAGAGAGATGTAAAACCGGTGTATCTTGCATTTATTGGGCCAGTAGGTAGGAACCTATGAACTTATGATGTGTTCCTTGATACTCACAGGGTTAAATGCATAAGGCAGTTACCACAGTTGTCATCACCAACAGTCCGCCACCTAAACTAAACTTCATCATTAATGGAAGCAGTCAGACATAACAAACTAGTAGTTTTACATATGCATAAGGCACATTGCCAGTTTGAAAAAAAAACTGACCGCCTGTAGTTTTCTCTTTATACAGTTCACAACACAAGCCACTTTGAACAAAGATGAAAAGCACAATTAATGACAATTGTAACCCTCAGTTCTTCTTGTATCAGTTTTAATGTCCCTGATTACCTCAAATAACAGAATTTTCTTTATCACAGAATGTCAAAAATAAGTATCCTGAGTACAGTGATGTCAATTCTTGATTCATTCTTCATTGATGTCATCATTCACATGCAGCAGATCTTTTGCTATCATCACAGCCTACCACAAACTCCTTATCTTTACTCTTTCGACCCTACCAGCGCACGGGGCACCCGCACATGCGTGCATGCACACACATATATATAACATATATATGTGTTGAAAAAGGTGTAGGCAGGTCTGCTCCATGCAGAGTGACAAGAAGTGCTTCAGAGGTCCTGGATATTTAGCGCCCTTTGGATTATTTCTGCCAGGCATGCATGGGTAATGGGAAATGGACAAGTAGAAAGACTGGCTGGTTTTCACCCCTTGGTGTTAAACTGACAAGCCAGATGTGGTCAAGACCCTTTAGGAGCAAGTGAACAGTACAGAGGCACAAACAGACCACCATGGTCTGAAGAGAATAGTGCAGCTTGGAGTGATCAGGGAATCTGGCCGACACTTAACACTCAGAGAAAAAGAAAGACGGACATACAATCAGACTGCCTGTGGTACCATCAGAATGGAAACTCTGTGCTAGCTAATGAAGATGAGGACACAGCCCTTATGGGAATATCCCATGTGATGGTTCCTGACTCAACTTAGTTCATTCCAATGACTGCATGTATTTTCACACCCAGTGTATCTTTGACATCCCGTGTCAAGCTTTGTGCTGGTTTTCACGGGCCTGTTTTATGTTATTTTATAAACAAAATTAAACAACATAAAAGTAAATATCTGATGACTTGAAGTTACCTGGTTTACAGATAGCATAATAACATACAAGAGAGCCCGTCTGGACAGTGTATGCTTCTGTAACAGTTCTTTGACTAGGTTTTCTGCAGCTTCATAACTTTCAGGGGTATTCTGTCAATACAGTGCAATTTGTATGTTGAATTATAATAAATGTACATGCTAAATGATTATAAAAGTATCATCATCAAGTGACTGCCATGACCGATCATGCATAATCATCATCAAGTGACTTGTCAATAGGTGTAAGCAATCATGTTTCCCTGTATCCAGCAACTGATTCTAATTTATGGACAAGCATGACTTGTTGGAGACAAATACAATGGTGGCTTCCTCTTGTCTTCTGTTAGTTTGTGTTAGGTGTAACAATTTGCTGAGGTACAAGGTGGAAGAGAAGAAGAAGAAGAAGAACTCTCAATATGGTCAAGTACTCACAATATGGTCAAGTACTCACAATATAATTATGTACTCACAGTATGGTCAAGTTCTCATGGTATGGTCAAATACTACAATATGGTCAAGTACTGTCAATATGGTCAAGTACTCTCAATATGGTCAAGTACTCTCAATATGGACAAGTACTCAAAATATAATCAAGTACTTTCAATACGGTCCAGTACTTACAATATGGTCAAGTACTCTCAATATGGTCAAGCACCTACAATGTGGTCAAACACTCACAATATGGTAAAATGCCCCAAAAGCCAGAGTCACACAGTCAATGTTAAATGCCTGGAGACTGGTGTAGACATCCAGCACCTGATAGTAGTGCCCGTGCTTGTACAGGAGGTCCATCAGCACCTTGTGGCAGGTGTTATCACTGAGCAGAACTTTACACACCTGCAAAGGTCAACAAACCTGTCTTAGGCAAGGTCATGGTGCAAACTAAACATACACACATATAAAGAAACAAATAAAATAAGAAATGTACAAAGAAGGAAGGACAGGGTGAAGAAAGAAGCTAAGAATGAGAAAATTAGTGTGTGTGTAGGTGTGTGTGCGTGCACGCGGGTAGCAATATACATGCAAGCACCCTTAAAGAGAAAACAAGGGCAATTTTATATTTTTTCTTTCCAAAATTCAAGCAAATTACTGTTTTTTCTGCTATAATTTTTATTTTATTAACAATATCAGGACTTTCTTTCTGAAGATAACAAAACAAAAGTGACAGTACTCACCACAAAAAGGATAGTTACGGTACCTTTTCCATGTCTTTATGCGCATAGGGCTAGGCCTATATTTTTTTAGACCCATGGGCACATGATGGGTGATGTGGTCAGAGCTAAAAAAAAAGATGCTTTTAAAAAAAAAAAGGTCAGTACTGTGTACCTTTAAGTCATCATCATCATCGTATGCACTGCTGACCGGCATCGGCATTCATGCAGCTCCACAGATCTCAGCCCCATGTCCTCTGGATCAGCACCGTTGCTGATATCCTTCCATGCCATCGTCACAATCCATCCGTCATCATCTCTCTCGGTATACCTCTCCCTCTTCTAACAATCTTCCCAGTTGTCACAATATTTTCCACAGCCTTCCCCCCTCATCACATGACCAACAAATAGTGTTTGCTCTTTACCTTTGGGTACTGTCAAAAAAACTTTGAACAATAATACCTATTATGGGCCAATTTTATACCACCAGTGTCAAACATGGACCCTTATTAATGTGTGCAAAATTCATAAGAGCAGAGATGAGACGTCTTAACTTTCTGAGTCGCTGGGGGTTTAACTCTCTGAATACCAGGGGGTTTAGCATCACAGGTCCAAGGGGTAGTAACGAGAGACGTAAAGTCGGTGCATCATGCATTCACTGAGCTTCTAGGTAGGAACCTTTGAACGTATGATGCGTTCCTTGGGACTCAAAGAGTTAAAAGAGCTGCTGCAGTAACAAGAGATGAAACTCAAAATTAAGAAATTAGAAGACAAGGACACACACCAGTCATGCAATTCATTAAAGAGCCACTTAGGTCCCAGGTAGTTAGGGTCCTTTGGAAATTGTCTTCAGGTCATGCCAGTGTGTCGGGGAAAAAGGTGGTAGATAGTCTGGCCAGTGCTGCACCTCTTGGTGGTGAACCAATCTAGATGTTGTGACGGCCCTTTGTGAGCAAGTGAACAGTGCAGAGGCACGAATAGATCATTACAGTCTGAGGATAATGGTGCTTCAGAGTTACCAGGGGATCTGGCTGATGCTCAACACTCAAGGGAAAGGTGAGATGGATATACTGGTGCCATCGGAATTCGAACTTTTTGCTTGCTGCTGGAGATGGGGACGGAGCGCTTATTGGAGTGTCCCAAGTACTGTGATGTCAATTCTTAATTCAACATTCAACAAGATAAGATGGTTTGGCCAGATGATAAGAGTGCTCTGGCACCAACCCCCATAGACAGCCAGGTTGAAACATATCATTAACCCAAAGGAAGGGGAATGAACATTTATGAGAGGGGATAGAGGTGCTGAAGAAGATTGAATAAAACAAATAGAAATGAGTGCATGGAATAAAACAGACTGGAGGAATCAAATGAAAGTTCTACGTAAAATATAAACAGAACAGAAGCATGATAAAACTGAATTCACTTTAAACTCACATGGATAATAAGGAGCTACCTTGGGGTAGCAGCTAGACGCTCACCTGTGAATCCAAAGGTCGTGAGTTCAGGTCCTGACAAAACCAGACTTATTTTCAAAAATTATCTTGGCTTCCAGGTCGACCCAGTCTTAAATGAGTACCGGGTATAGTCCTGGGAAGTAAATGTGGCTGTGGGATGTTGAACAACATCACTCACCGAGTGATGATATGTCTATGAATATGAACTATAAGTCTAGTCCTATAAGTCCAATAGGTGAGTAGGCATAGAAAAGGGACACATGGATAATAATGAATTACTTTCAAACTTACAGGATTTTTATACAAACTGTAGGCCCTGTCTGGCTCCCCCAGATGGTGATACAGTCTCAGCAGACTAGCCCCGAAATTGAAGGATTTCTCAACATCATCAGGAACACTGAAATTATAGTGACCATAATCGAATGCTTTAAGGACAGTAGTCTTACACTGAAAAACTGTGTGGTTCTTTTGTTCTGTACAGACACAAAAGCTGCACAATAATTAATGTAACAGTAAAAAAAAATGTAATGGGAGCAATGACGTTTTTTTTTTTAAAGGTAATTGTATAATCAGGTAATTAATCTCAGTTCCAGGTTGATAGCACGACAGCAAATGCATCACCACATGGCTGCCCCGTTTCTGTGCCAGCAAAAACCTTTACACAGTGTCCATCACTGTCCCTTGTTGAAAAACTGACATAAGCTGCAGTCTAAGCAAATCCAATAGCACACACATGCATTAAATGCATAAGGCAGCCATCAGAAATGCCAACAACAACCAGTTAAGCAATAGAAATGCAGTTCATAACCAAAGAAAGAATGCTGAAAAAAGAATGTTGAAATATTGTAGAAAGAAAAGAAATTAAGTCTGAAATACTGACAGTGGTAGGTGTGAAGCTCTCTCATCAAAAGCATAGGGAAAAGACGTGAGGTTAATTGGCCAATATCAAGAGAAGATGTAGAGAGGAAATAAACTTAACAATAGGCAAGAGAAACAAAAGAAGGCAAGGAAAGATGTACTGCCAGGCTTAAATAACAGATAGATAACAGATAATACAAAGGAAGTCAATAATTATCTACACTGACTTCTGTCCTCGCTTATTCTTTGTTATTCTGTTGTGGTAATTCTATGAAAGTTTGATCCTAATTCTGCCATTTGTCTTCCTTCTGTTGCAGATAGATCATGGCTGCTCTATTAGAAGTTTTCAATGAAGAGGAACAGAGCAGCATTACCACTCATCTGGTCGGAGGGTGTCAACGGAATCCAAACATCATAGACTATCATCGCAATATATGATAAATGCACTATCAGGTAAAACTGTGCTTTTGAGGATTGAGAACTTTAAAAGTGGTTGACAATTTTAATGCATGAAGAGGAAGCAGGACGGCTATCAACCTCTACTACAGACGACAACATTCAGCAAGTTCCAGAGATGGTTCTGGTAGTTTACCATCGACGAGGCAGCATCTGCGTTAAATATTAGTCCTGGTTCTGCCCATCAAATCATCCATGACAAGCTCAGTTTTCATAAAGTCTGTGCATGGTGGGTACCAAGAAAGTTTACCAGGTTGTCAATTTGCCTCAGACTTAGACATGAAAAATGCGGTGCAAAAGTGTCTTCACAGCCAACTGAAAACTTTTTATTTGGAAGGATTACGTAAGCTTGTTGACTGTCGGGCAAAGTGCATTGATAAGAAGGGAGATTACGTAGAAAAATGATGTGCAAAGTGAAACCTTAGTTTCCTGTAAATAAACTGTAAAATGAAAAGTGTAGATAATGTTTGACTCTCCCTAGTAATTTAACTAACATCAGTTTAATATAAGATTTAAGTTAACAGTGAAAAGATCAAAATGAATGTATGCAAAGTAATATGAAATGACACACCTCAGCAGCTGAAACACTCTTTCGAGCTCTGCTAACTCTGGTTTGGTTTCAGCAAGGTGCAGGAAATCCACAATCTTAAAGGACAAATGTTTAGCCTCCTTTGGTGTCTTGACATCCGTCAACTTGCCCAACAGTGATGCTGGAAAATTTGAAAATATTCATATATTAATTATCGTTATAATAAGAGGTTCCTCTTTTCTTGCTTGTTTCTGCATGTGTGCTTTTGTTTCATTCAGCCATCACACTGCGTAGAATGTCTTCTCGTAATTATAATCAGCCTTCTTTCTGTGGTATTTTAGTTTGTCAAACAGCCAACAAATTGCCAGCACTGAGCTGTAGTGTTATCAAGGACACACGCTCTGAAGGTCATGGGTTTGATTCACAGCTGTGTCGTTCAGTTCACGAGAGCAATTTTATGGAGATACCTGGGGATCATCACCGGAGCTACGAAGTTTGTGCACCATGCAATGCTCTCGGTAGGCGGCTAGCCATTCTGCAGAAAGAGACTGAGCCATATGGGATAAAATCCGGTGCAATGAAGATGATCCTCTCGACTTTTACCTTTAACATGTGTGTGTCTGGGTGTATGTATGAGCGTATGTAGGTATGGATGTATGTGTGTATATGTGTATATGTGTGAGTGTATATGTATGCAAGCATGTGTGTGTATGTATGTGTGTCACAGACCTCTGGGTGACCTTGATCGTCCGTGGCTCGTAATTGGGCCTATGACAGACAAACTAACCTTTAACACACACTGAACCCAACACACAGGGCACACACGACAATCTTTATTGCAAGTACAGGTAATACAACAGACAGCTGACTTCCCGCTGCGTGGCCACCTATTGCCTGGACCCTCTGGCCAAACGAGCTTTACAGTCGCCTCGCTCTCCAGTCCGTTCCAACGGCAATCTCTGGTGCACAAACCACAGCTGGGTGGGATACGCTCTTACCTATCGACACACTAACCTACCAAGATGTCACAGCCTCTGTCTAGTGCAGGGTCCGCGTGACAAGGTTAGACATTCTCTCACAGAACATGTACCTAACCGATTTAACTGGTCAGAAGTAACTGGACACTACTTACTTATTGTGATACAACACAATGCATTGTACCAGTTAAATACACAGCACAAAAGACTATCCTATTCTAACAGAACACTGTAAATAATCTAGGCAGTCACTAAAGAAATATCCTACCTCTAATATTTTATCACTGTCTTGCTAACACGTCTGTGCCGTCCGAACACTGCACACCCAATAGCCTGTGTTCTCTCACCTCGTGTCTTTTGACTCGTTCACCTGTTCAGTCCCCCATGGGGCAATCATGTTGTGAACTTGTCTGCAACAGAGTTCACTCTTACCTGTCGTCCTCAAGTGGTCTCTACTGAGCGATAGTTTCACAGTGCGAACAGCACAGACTAGGCCAGTCATGCAACTGGCCTTTGTTTCAACCCTGGGGTGTCACCTGAACACGGTACACCCTACTGTGTGGTCCATTCCGCCCGATGACTGTACTCACTGGGTTGTGACAATGTGGATGCATTGATATGTGTGTATGAATTTGTGAGTGTGGAGAAAACATTGCGGGATGGGGAACTTGCTCACAACTGACAGCACATTTTCCAGGCAAAACAAAAAAATTAGACGGAAAGGGCTGGGAGCGGCTTGCCCCCCTTGCCCCCCCCCCTCCCCCAATGAAAAGACTCTTGGTTGGGTCTCAAGCAGACCTGCAAACCTAAATAGGTCTGACCTATATAGTCAGATCTATAAATACTTGAAGTCACCAGCTGGAATGCAGCATTGAACCTCAAGGGCTCAGAAAGCTGAAGAAGCAGGTTAGTCTTAGTTCTATGCCTTAATATGCCTGGTAGGATTCAGTGTTCCTACTGTTTGCTTCACATAAGGGCTCAGCAAAACAAGGCAGGCTGTATCCCCCAGACATACAAAACCAACAGCTGACACAGCAATAATTAGTCAATGATGTAATTACTTTCTTTCTTATTTTAGTATGACAAATTTTCTTAGTCGATAATGAGGATGGTTTGAAATGGAAAAATGTGGAATGGGCAGACACCAAGCATCAGTATGCCAACACTGCAAGAAAACATGTGGACATACTGTCTGGGGCATGCAAGAGTGCAAGGGAATAAAGGAGTGGATTTTCCGGCTAAAAAGGCAATACCAAAGAGAACACTCGTACTGAACATAGGCAAGAATGTGTGAACAAAGAATTATGAGTGTATCCAGCAAAGAGGGGTGTATGAGAGAAAGAGGACGAAATTTGTTTAATCAGTGTACTGTGGTAACAGATAGCATCTACACCTTAAGACACTTGCTGCAAAAGACGGAGCATCTATGGGTCTGCCGAGTGTGCTATGATGTCAGTTTTTAAATCAGTCTCATAAATAATTAATATCAGTAAATAGTTTGTATTAGTAAATTATTTATATAACTCTTTCAGTACCAAACAGTTGTTAGATCAAGACTTTCTAACTCAGAGTTTATGTTATTTAGAATAAACAGACTTTGAATCTCAGTCAACCAAAATTGTAGAAATGTTGAACAAAATGAATTCTTCTTCTTCGTGTTCACTGGCTGTAAATTGCTGCAGAAAATTATGGTGGCTCATCTACTTCTAGACTTTGGTTCTGTTTCAGAACTTGAGTTTTGCATTCACATCCATTTTAGAGATCTGGTTTATTTGTATGCCGACTGTCAGTTACTCACCTCTCATGCAGATACACTGCATCTTCGAAGGAAACACTCCTAATTAGTAGTCTTTTACGACATGCTTGATGCGAGGGCAGTGGGTCCATCCACCCCCCCCCCCCAATTAGTTCCCAAAACCCAAATGGGGAGCAAAATGAATTCAAGCAGCTTCTACTAAAGAGAGGAAAATGAGACAGAAGTTAGCCACGTATCCAGTAGTCAATAAATATATGGCCAGTTGCCAGGTACTCAAAGACTTAATAAAGATACTTCTGTATATACGCATACCTTTTCCAGCTGGGCCCAGCAAATCAGTTATAAATATCCTCTGTCTCAGGTACCCTTCCAGCTTGATGTCTGCATCACTTAGAAGTGTTCGACACACTAGAATTACAGGACATTAAATGCTAAAATATGAAGATATGTACTAAAATATGAGGATACAAAATACTAAAATATGAGGATTTATACCAAAATATAATGATACAAAATACTAAAAAATAAAGATATGTACTAAAATATGAAGAGATATTCTAAAATATGAGGACAAATGCTAAAATATGAGGATATATATACTAAAATAAAAGGATATAAACTAAAATATTAGGATATATACTAAAATATGAGGATATATATGAAAATATGAGAATACATACTAAAGTATGAGGATGGTTGGTTGGTTAGTTGTGTATCCTTTACAGGACGTTGCAGAACCAACCCCAGCAGCCCCTGGCTGTTGTGTGGTATTTCTAGGCAAATTTACATCCAGTAGTTTGTCACTGCTTTCTGGGCGGTCGCTCTTTAATACCACTGTCAAAACCAACGCAAGGCACATGGCCTGCAGCTGGGATCGAACCCGCCACTCTGGCATTATGAAGCGTTTGCATCGACAGCCACAGAGCTGACAAAATATGAGGATACATATACTAAAATATGAGGATATTGTATTAAAATATGAGGAAAGGAAATATTAAAACATGAAAATATTTACTAAATATGATATATACTAAAATATGAGGACAGGAAATTCTTAAATATGAGGATAGGAAATTCTTAAATATGAGGATACATACTACAATATAAGGGTGTGAAATTTTTGTCCTTCTTCATCTTCTGTGCTCACCCTTAAAAAGGGTGGCTGGCATGCTGTGTTGTAGTTTACAACTAGGCTGGGATATCTGTGCCTTACAGACCAACATATCTAGCATCATTCTCTCCAATCTGCTGGAAATATAATTATTTTGATCTCCGTGATTTGACTTTACTGAATATTTGTGTAGCAATTCCGTAGATCGTAGATTAAAATTTGACTAAACTACTAGGATAGGATGTGTGGCTCTCCTCCGAACTTCTACCTCCGCATTATGGCAGCAACAAATATCCGTACGGAGCTCAGTTCTATTAAAAAAATGCGAACTTCCAGCGATGAACGAATAGTGGCAAAACTAGGATTACCTGACAATTTCAAGAGACGATACTAACGACCATGGACAATTTCGAGACACGCAACATTACTGACGATAAAAGCCACATGGCGGGGAGTCCACGTGCGCCGACGCAGATTAGCGTCGTTGTTGTCCTCATGCGCAAAAGGCGGTTACACTCACTGACGACAGTATCCCCCGTGCCGCTACGCACGGCGCGGATGGGGGACTAAACTAGGTGCCTGGGACTCATGAGCAAATTAATTGGAGGAAGTTGCAGGAGATGAGGTAGCTGCTGCTCGTGAGTCCTAGTCATCTAGAATAGCGTAGCGCCGGGGATACGGTCCGCTGGTGAGACATAGTCACAGAAACAGGTCCACAAGTAACATATCGCTGAGACCCTGTTAGAGGATTTGTTTCGTTTTACGGAGCCGGCATATTTTTAATAGAACTGAGCCTCGTTTGGATATTTGTTGCCGCCATAATGTGGGGGTAAAAGTTCGGAGGAGAGCCGAATGTGTTTACATAGATGGATAGTCTTTACAACTTCATAACTTCTGCTGGGATACCATCTGGACCTTCAGCCTCCTTTCCTTCCTTCGGAAGTGCATTTCATTTGCACTAAAGTAAGTTGAAGTAATAAATAAGGATTTTGGCTCTCCTCCGAACGGCATCATAATATTATGGCGGCCATAAAAATATCCTAAAATATCCGAACGGGGCTCAGGCATATCTAAAATACAGACTTTCATTCTGCCAGGGAACAAATCGCGGCAAAACTCTATACTATTAGTAGTATTAGATTAGTTGAACTTGATTTAGCCCGGCTAAGACACACACCTGACAATCCTGCGTTCTAACGATACAACCAGCTTATCCTCCATCTCTGGATATTACTCATTATTTAAAACTTTTACGTTAAAAAAAAAAAAGCAGAAATATTACCAAACAGAAGTACAGCATTACGGTTTCTTGGCAGACTACCTTGAGACAATCGTCGAGCGATGGAAGCAGCCATTTTGCTCCCACAATTTTCAGGGTAGCTTCCCTTACCTTAGTTCTAAAAGGATTAGGATTAGGGACCTGTGCATACAGTCCTTTAACTTTAGACGTCCTTTCTGGTATAGTACTGCACCTTACATATGGCTGATGTAATCGTTCGGGTGCCCTAATTATAACTTTTTTAGAGATTGAAAGGTGTATCCAGCATGGCGTCAAAGTCAACTAATTAAGGGTTTCATTTAAAATCCGAGTGCTTCTGCCTAACAGGCAAGGGACCAAAAAGTTGCCTAAAAATAAGCCAGATCTGTAAAATGGATGTGCAGGCAAAACTCACGATCTGGAATCAGACTAAAGTTCGGAAGTGGACGAGCAGCCAGAGCTTTCCGCCGGAGTTGACAGCAAGCAAACGCGAAGAAGGAGGAGAAACTACGAGAGACGCATCAGCTATGATGACTATGCCCCTAAAATGCCCTTAAATCATCATCATCATGTAGCAGGTACTTTGCAGAACGTCGCTCTTATCACAGTCTGCCTGAAAGAAACTCGGTCTCTTGCCAGTTCTCCCGCCTCATGAACTTTCACACTCAATTAGTAATCATAAAAAATTACGTCAACAGCCTAGAACTGTAGGTTACTGGGCACCGGCACCTTATGGCTCAGGCCACTTCAGAACGTATCGTATAGTCTATATATATAAAAATCAATGTTTGTGTGTTTGTTTGGTCTCTATAGACTCGGAAACTACTGAACCGATTCAGCTGAAATTTTCAGGATATGTTTGTTGTGATACCGGATTTTGAACCGTCGTGGTTTGAAATTCAACCTGTCACTGTTAGAGATAGGTGACCACAATTTATGCCAAAATATACGCAACTAATATTTATAACTTTAGTGATTTCTACTTATAGCCACGTTAGTAATTGCGCATGCGCCGCCGTAGTCAGAACGCAAGGCTTCCGCCATTCGCCGGCGAGTTAGGTGCAGCCAACGCCTTAATACATAGAGTAGGTCGAGGTACCGCAAACAAGATTATCTCTATATTTGCCACAATAACCATTTTAAACACGATTTCTATTTTCTGTTTTTTTTTTTCAAACAACCTTCGATGGGGGGGGGGGGGGGGCAATCAAGGACTATCTCGACGTCGGCGCAGACATTGACTGCGTCATTAACTTCATTAGACAGGTGAGATTTCCATTGTCTTTCTTTTCTAAAAACCTTTGATGAGGGAGAGGGTACTAGGTGGATTTAGTTGTGGGGGTGGGGGGGGGGGGGGATCAAAGACTATCTCAAATTACGCCACAGGAACGCGTGGCCGGGTACAGCTAGTATCGTATAAAATCAAACAAAAATTCCAAGCTTAGTCCTTTTTTAGCCGCCTGTTGGCCTGCTTTTTCAAGGACGGTTCATTTGCTATCTTATTTTTTTTATCTTCCTTTGTGGTGAGCAATTACACCTGAGTTTGTTCATTTGTTGCCTAAGTTCTGGTTTTGATGGGTCCTGATTCCTGTTTTAGTTGGCTATCCGATAGCTGTTGCACTGTTCATCTGTGTTAGTACCAAGTCAGTCCTCTGCCACGCCACCGCAAAACAAACAGTCCCGCAGACTGAGCGACCTAAAACAAGGCCCCCAACAGGACGATTGTCACAATCTACTTATTGTGCGCAGCCGTTTTTTTTTTTTTTTTAAATGTGTAGTGGAGGTAACAAAGATTTGCAAAAAAATTAGAGCGTTCGAAGGTGCAAAGATATTTTATAGTTAGGTCAGAAGATGGAGAGAGACAGATAGCTTGCTAGGTTGAGAAAGAGGTCCTTGGTGAGTTGAGCTCTGCGCAATGCCTGCTCTTCAGCGTTTTGTTCCTGGGTTGATCTGAAAATAGACTGATTTACAATTTAAATATATGTGGGGAGGGGCGGGTGAGGTTATCAGAGAAGCGTAATAGCCTGGAGCCCATGAGTGCTGGTCCCCTTGTTGTGCTATGCCCTTTTAGCTGGTTGCCTCAGAGCGTCGGGTGGCCTTTGGTGAGTTCCGTCGGTTTTTAGCTGAAAATAGGTTGATTAACATTTTAAACATATGTGGGAGGGGAGGGGGAGTTACAAGATGAAATGCATAATAGACTGAAATCCACGAGTGCTGGTCCCCTTCTTGTGCTATGCCCTTTTAGCTGGTTTGCTTCGGAGCGTCGGGTGGCCTTTGGTGGGTTCAGTCGTTTTAATCTTTTTGAAAATATACTATGAGAGATTTATGTTAGTTGGATTGTTTTAGTCTGAGTGATTCGCTTGTGTTAGAGAAGGAGTGGAGATAGTACAGGCAGAGTAACAGGAATGCTTTTGAGAGGATATACAGTGAGGTCGGAAGAATGAGTGAGAAGGATAGTTGGCTCTGTTGAGGGTGCTGGTACTAGCTGGATCTGGTCAGTCACATCGTGATGAGGGGTGGCTCTCAGATGGCTTTCCCGGTTCTGGATATGAACTGCTTCACAAGTCGCTGGATCTTGTCGTCGCAGCTTACACTGAGACAGTTTTCAATTGTCATTGGTTGGTTGGTGGCTCTGAGGTGCAGCACGAGCTCTTGTCTCTCTGTTTCGTGGTGTTTACAGTTTAGTAAGAAGTGCTTCATGGAGTTAGGGGTCCTGCATTCCTCGCACACAGGGGTGCGGAATCGGTCTGGCCAGCACCCTAGTCGCATCTTCCACAGTTTTCGGATGGCCGGAATTTTGGTCAGTTTAGTCACTTGATTCTTGGGACTGGGTTTGTTGAGTAGTTTGTAGGCAGCTCTGCCTTTGTCATTGGTCGACCACTGTTGGGACCATTCTCTGCATATTTTGCTTTTAATTGTTGCTTTCAGTTTTGCCCAGTCCCGCGAATATTGTGTTGTGGCTAACCGTGCCTCTCTTCCCCGCTCTGTCTGCTGCTTCATTGCCTTCAATGCCTATGTGTGCTGAGATCCAACCAATGG